GATCTTCTGTTAGTCTGTTATAGCTTGGTTTTGTTTGTTTAACTCGCCTTTTGATAATCATTTATATATTGTCCTTTTTTTTTTTTTTAATTTTATTTGTACACCGTATTGTATTATGACACTTTTAGTATTCACCAGCATAGTCACTGTTCTGCCTCTGATATGCAAAGTTTTTCATTACGATATGAAGTAAAAGGTCTATGAAGTAAAGGTTTTGTGTAACTAATGTAAAAAAACACAAATTTTATAAAATTGTACAGTTTTGTTAACTAGTCTCACAAGCCAGCTAGAATATTGCATAGATCCTGTGTATCAGCAGTACCTATAGGATGTCTGGAAGGGGTACGGGGAGAAACCAAGGAATAAAAAAAAAAAATAACAAAAAAACCAACACAACAAAAAAAATACAATTTCAGTGAATTTTTACCTTAAGTTAAAGGGGATTTCAGAGCTGTGCCACAACACCCTCAATAACTGATACCTGGGGCCAGGTTCATTAAGCCATTCCCACAATAATGCCAATGAGGAGAATCCCGTCCCCCACCCAATGCCGAGGAATAACCAGTGTTGTGTTCGAGTACTCTGTGGTTTCAAGACTATGTAAAAATGCATTTTATTTTAAATAAAAGTCAAATCTTTTATTTAATATTCGGCTGCCACTCCTGGTTTTTGTGGTTTAACTGACCTGTGGAAGGGCCATAAGTAACTCCCATAGGATAGATCCATCCTGTGCCAGCCCTGTGCTCCCTCACACTGCTCTATCCTGAGCTTGCTGAAACAAATGCCACCAAAAAGCAGAAGAAGTCACAGAATCACAGAATATGCTGAGTTGGAAGGGACACACAAGTCATAGAATCATGGAATGGTTTGAGGTGGAAGGGATTTTAAAGATCATCTTGTTCTGCCATGGGCAGGGTCACCTTCCACTAGCCCAGGTTGCTCCAAGCCCTGTCCAACCTGGCCTTCAGCACTTCAGGGATCCAGGGACAGCCACAGCTTCTCTGGGCAACCTGTGCCAGGGCCTCACCACCCTCACAGTCAAGAATTTTTTCCCAATATCCCATCTACCCCTGCCCTCTGGCAGTGGGAAGCCATTCCCTCTTGTCCTGTCCCTCCAGGCCCTTGTCCAAAGTCCTTCTCCAGATCTCTTGGAGCCCACTTTAGGTCTCCTTTAGATCCCAATCCCTGGCCAGGCAGGCAGTGGGGAAGCAGCCCAAGGATGCAGGGAATCAGGATCTAGGTCAAGCCCACTATTAAACAATGTCTCCAAGTGCCACATCCACACATCTTTTAAATCCCTCCAGGGCTGGTGACTCCACCACTGCCCTGGGCAGCTGTGCCAGTGCCTGACCACCCTTTCCATGAAGGAATTTTACCCAATACCCAACCTAAACCTCCCCTGCATTCCTCCATTTCTGCACTGATCCTCTGAGTTTCACACCAGGAAAGGTGTGAAACTTTGCTCCATAAAACCCAAGGGGAGGGGTGGCCCGATGATGCCGGGCGATTCCTCCCACTCCTTGTTCCCACCGCAAGTGGGACCGCAGCCGGGGTGGAGGTGTGCTCAGGATGTGCCAGGGATGCTCCCAATCCTGCCCCACAGCCGAGGGCTTGTTCTTCTGGGTGCTGGCAAGTCCAGGCAGCCCCGAGAGGCACACGAATGGAGGGGTGGCGTGCGCGCTCCTGGCAGGCAGCGCCAGGATTTTGGCTGGATGATTTTGGGAGCGGGTGAGGCACGGCAATAACTCTGGAATAGCTCCAGAGCTGGGCGTGTGATGGGGATGGCTCGCTGAAAAATATTTACCTCCCATTTCCCAGCCTGGGGTTATGCTGGATGGGGAGGTGTAACGTGGATAGGAAAGATGGAGGGAGATGATGGACCAAGTCCCCTCGGTCCGTCCATCCCACAGGGCTCTGTTGCGCTGCTCCAGGGCCTGAATTTGCAGCTGGAGGAGGTGATAAGGCAGGAAACGCTGAGGAGAAAAGCAGAGGAGGTCGGGAAGGGGCATGGGAAGGCAGAGGCTGCTGTCGGCTGCAGCCCTTCCCTGCACGGCCCCCCGAGGATGGGAGCTGGGAGAAGCCGGGTGGGAAGCACTTGCAGGAGGTTGGGAAGCAGGGAAAGGGTCACAGGGGGTTCAAGGTGATCTTTCCTTTCTCCTCAGACGAAAAGATGCAAGTGAAAATGAGCTGTTGCAGCGTAGGGGGATAAAAAAATAATGCGGTTTTCCTAAAATCTGGAGAAACACCAGATAAAATACAGCATGGATGGGAATGACCACACACAGAGGATGGACATGGGAGTGAGGAGGAAGCACGAGGAGCACGTTGGAAAATGGATCAAGGAGGGAGGTGGTAAGAGCTGGAGCCCATGGGAAGGGATGGATGATCCACCTCAGGGACAGGCAGCGAGGACAAGGGGGATTATGGCCATTTGTTCCATGCTCCTTATCCAAAGGAAAACCAGGATGTGGTGGGCGCAGAGGGTTTCCAGTGACGTGCTGGGGAGAGATGTCACAGACCAGGTGGTTTTGGGGGCGTTTGGGCATTAAACCCAAAAGCAGAGGATGAGGAAGGTCCTGGCAAGCCAAAGCACCGCAAATCCCAGTTCCAGCGCTGGAGGGAGACACGGAGGTTTATTCTGCTGATGCAGTAAAATCTGGCTGTGGTTGTCCCTTTTGGAGTAAACCAAATTAAACCTAAACCAAACCCAGGGAGAAACCAGCCCGTGGGTGTCCACAGCCCCCGGGAGTGACTCAGCCTCGGGGAGGAAGAGCTGTGACCGTCTGGCATCCACAGATGCGCTGGGAAAAAAAGGAACTATTTCCAACTATTTTGATAAGCACATGATGGGGAGGGAGGTTCAGAGCCAACAAGGCTGCTCAACCCCCAGTTTAGCCAAAATAAGTGGCAGGGATGCCTGAAAATGGGACAAGTCCAGCTCTCCAGCAAGCAGCAGGGCCAGGGGAATGATGTTCCTCACTCGCTGACCCCATTCCTGGCCCTTGAGGGCGGAAAAGGAAAAAATAAATCACTTTTTGTCAAGGTACTGATGCAAACCGGCTGCCAGGGTGAAAACACACCTCTCTGAATGCAGGCAGGGGATTTGGATGCCTGTGTGAGCCCGGCATGGGCTGGGGGGTCGGCTGGGATTCTTATGGAGTTTTAAGCCTCAAGTAACTTAATACCGTGCAGATGGGCAAGGCCTGGAGTGGGTTTAAAGTGGGATCAGTGGAGTTTTGAATGGGGGAGAGGTTTGCAGACCCATGGAGCTTTTAAAAACAAAGCAAACAAGAAATATGTCCCAAACAGGGCTGTCCCCTGCAGCAAGGAGGGGGTGAGAGCTGGGTATGAGGACACCCCGCTGACAGGAATTGATGGAAAAGGATCATTTGGGGAAGCTGTTGGTCTGGGGAGGCAATAAACCTCCGTCCCTGGACGTGTTCCAGGCCAGGTTGGATGGGGCTTGGAGCAACCTGGGATAGTGGAAGGAGTCCCTGCCCATGGCAGGGGGGTGGAATGAGATGGGTTTTAAGGTCCCTTCCAACCTGAACCATTCCACAATTCAGTGATTCTGTGATAACACAAACTGACCCCAAACCTCTCCAGAAGGGTTATTGCCTACAACCAGGACAAGTGGGTTTCCAAAAAGCCCTCCCATTCCTCCCGCTGTGGGATGGCCACCCCAGGCACTGGGGCTTTCCTGTGGTGGGCAGGGGCTGTAGAAAGCTCCTTAAATTAATCCGTAGTAAAACCAAGCTGGATGAGTCACTTGTGTCTCAGGAAGCATGTTGGAGACTCTCCAGCCTTCAGGCCAGGAAGGGGCTCCTGGGTGGCCAGCACCAGCTCCCTGTGGGGCTGGCTGTGCACAAAGGCACAGTCTCCCAGATTCCTGGTTCACACCATGAGGGAATGCGAGAGCTTTGTCCGACCTTGTCCTGCCTTGTCCAACCCCTCCTGGGTTGAGCATCCCAGGGCTGGGATCAGCAGCATCGTTCACCCTGCCCTGCCCCAGGAGAGGGACCCTCTGAGGGCACTCAGGACCACCAGGCATTTAGCTGGCATTGACTGGGGATGCAGGGAAGCCAGACCTGGTGTCGGCACATCCAGCCAGGATCCAGCCCAGAGTTGCCTGCTTCGATCCGGTTGCACTTCCCAGGTGTATTAACCCTGATCTCCAATGCAGGAAGGGATGGTGAAGATCCAAAGCCCTCAGTGACAGCACCAGGAACGGTTTAATTGGTCTAATTAAATTCTGACTGATCAGTGACTCTGCTCAAAACCTTTCTGGAAACCAGCGGATGGGTTTATTTGTTTGCTTTCAGTCTCACAAAAGCCCTGTGTGCTTTTATTTGTGGCACCGAGGCACTAAAGAGATAAAAGATCCATAAATATCTGTTGGATGTTATAGATTTTTTTTAAAAAATTAAGTTCCTCCCTGCTTGCAGCTCCTTCCCGTAAGCACCAGTGCAATGCAGCTTCCATCGGCATCCCAGCCTTCCCTTTGAAATCCCCTGCATCCTTCCAGCTGTTCCACATATTTCAGGCTTGAGTGGCCCCCCAGAAACTGCTCCTTCGGTTTCCTTTAAGCTCTCCCTGTCTGGTTTTTGTAATTCCAGAATGCAAACAGGGACTTTTCCCAGGCTGCAGGGTTGTGATACCCTCAGGATGCAAACCTGGACCTCCCTCCCACGGGTTGCTGAAAACAGCCAGTGGGCTGGGTGGGAAACACCAGTTTAAGGAGAATTTAAAAACCCAACATGCCAAATTCATCCCAAAAAAAAGCTGTCAGGGAGCTCAAGGCTTTGATCAGCATTTGATCTGATCCGTGGAAGAGGCTGCGGAGCCGCACTTCAGGAGTTTTCCTTTTTTTAGCCTGACACAGGAGCAGCAA